GTGCTCAGACTTCCTGGTGACAATGGTGATGAAAAGTCAAATGTGTTTGTTTACCACCTTTTCTTTCTTTATTACATCCTAGCTCGTGGCTTGTCTAGCTGTCGCCTGTTTTGTTTGTGGTTTCTTATCTGACAGCAACGTCATGGTGACTTTATAAGAATAGTGACATATTTAAAGGCTGAGCAGAGTAAAACCATCTGCCTGCCTCTGGGAATTGAATCCAGCAGACTGTGACCAAGCATTTTCCTGTCCTTCTCTACCCTCTGTAGAATAGTGCGGGGAATGAGTCTTAAAACCCGGAAACGAGTCTGGATTTTTCACTTTTAGGGCTCCCTTGTATGGAAGTCAATTTTTCTTGAACGTGTTTTTAGTTAGAAGCCTGAAAGAAGGGCTGTGGTTAACACAAGCTTATGAAATGTTCAAGTTTTGTCCTACGACTAACAAGTGGCTAATTGACACTACTCAACATCCTCACGCAGAACACAAGTCCGCCTTTAGCTTAGCGGTGTTGATTTGAAGTCATGCGGCCGTGAGGTTGTTTATAACATAATGTTAGCTATTTACTAGGGCTGCTCAATTAATCGTATTTTAATCGCAATTACGATTTTGGCTTGCAACGATTATGAAAACAACATAATCGAAATAAAACTATTTTCTTTTTATTTCTTTTTTTTATTGGTTTTTCAGTTGAATTATACTTAAAGTTCAGGGTAATCAACTGTTAAAAACATACTGTTCAACTATTTTTGTTCAATAAATGGATGTAAATGGATAATCGTTTTTAATATACGTGATATCAATTATTGACCAAAATAATCGAGATTATGATTTTTGCCTTAATCGAGCAGCCCTACTATTTACTCTTGCCGATTTACGCTTCAAATATAATAAAAGGGATGCTAATATGTGGAAGAATCCTGCTGCACAATATGTGGAAGCATCATAAAGGTGTGCCAAATATCTTATCTTCTGAAATATTCCAAAATCCAATGGATCAATCCCATTGCTTTTCCTAGAGCGAGCCTTCTGGGTCCATCTACAAAAATACCTCATTACACCACTCTATTCTCATTCTCCTCTGCTGCTGGGTCTCTTGTAAAACTCATATTTAACTCCATGGCAGCGACCATCATTGTCATGGTGAAGGACTTCCCTTCTGCAGACTGCCTGCCGTCTTTCCTCGCCTCCCTTTTATCTCCACTGCTACAAATAGGTCTTGGACTCTAAATGTATGTGCATCTGAGATTGCGGTGACATCAGTCTGACCTGACATGCTGACATTTAAAAGCAGTTTGTATTGTTTAAATTGGACCGTAGCCACACTGAGACCAAGGCAAAGGTCTGCCAGTGAAGAAGGATTCTGTTCCTTTCGTGTTTACTTTTAGCTTTGCTGTTTGGACCTGTATCTCTCCTCTGCAAAATAAGGACTCCAGAGAAACTCTCTCTGGATGGAACTTTGGGATGTAAGCCTTTGCAGACCATTTACATGCACACAAAACGACATGGCACACTACTGGTTATCTGGTTATCTTGCTCTTTGGTGAATAGAGCAGATACTATATTTGAAAATGATATCGTTCAGAATCAGTATCATTTTAATAAACCTTGAATACTGATAGGCCAAAATTGACCCATGATGAGTTTTACTACCTACAAAAAGAAAACATGCATTTAAAAGAACCAGTAGCCTTATAATAACTATGATTATTGCCATGATCACCATCTAATGGCCAATGCAATCTTATCAAGAACGGGACTAGCAGGAAGTTGTTTATGCTAATGTACTCTACTTTTTGACCTGTGTTTGTAGAATAAATCATATATGAGATTGCAGTAGTTTACACATGTTAACAATCAAAAGGTCCATGTTTATCCAGGGCATGGCTGTCTTTTTGTTTTGCTGCTGCCTCTCCTAAAAATGTTCTCCAACACCTTGCCTCTCCTTTCTCTCTTAATAAAAAATAAACGTGGAGAAGGAGAGCCATATCAATTTACCTCTGGCTGATTTCCTGCAGCCAGAGGCGGGCTGGAGGAAGACAAGCAGGGCTCATAGTTGGAAGTAAAGCCACAACTCTTAATAATACAGGGTTGTGTTCTTTTTTGGTTCAATATTTTATAACCATGTAAGTCCCATTTATATAAAGACTTAAAATAAAAAATGTGCTGGAAACCACCAAAGGACCAGGCTTTTCAGATTGATTTGAGCTGTCCCATTGCTCTGGTTGTGTTCACATATTTCTAACAATTCTGCGAGTCGGGGGGAATAACTAAGTGACATTAAAGTGGATTTGTAAGGAGTTTAACTTTGGATTTGGTGGAAACGGTAGTCCCATTAGTGATGTAAAGAAACAAAATAACAAATCATTTTAAACACATTTTTTCATTAAGTAACGGCTTAGCATGTTGAACGTCTGCGTGGTTATGATCCTCGACTTTAACTTGGACAATCAAACAGAAAGCCCACGTTCATCTTCACCTGCCAGGCTTCATTTTAGCATAGCTTCGCGTCACAGAGAAACTGATGCCATATTATGCAAAAGGCATGGAAATAAAGTTAAAAAGGTTTGATACATTTGCGTATATCAACTCAAATCCAATACTTTGGAAATATTAACTAACTAACCCTAACCCACTAATTCCCATCTCTTATTTCATTAAAGAGGCCCCATTATGCATGTTGGTGTTTCCTGTAGTGTGGGGGCATGTCAATGGTCTGCAATGTGTAAAAGTTCCATCCAGATGGAGTTTCTCTCCCCCACACTCCCCTGCCTGAAACGTCTCCACTGGACTTCATAGTGACACTATGGGTGCGTTTCACTTTGGTTAAATGGAATCCTTGCGTCCCTCACTTGCGTCGTTTCCCTGCATTTAGTCCCTCCCACCAGGGAAGCATGGAGAGACGCAAGGAAACTACAAGAAGCAGGGAAATGAGTTTTAAGAGCAATGGGATATTGTTTCCTCCGGAGCGTCACGTGAAGCGACTTCCGTTTATGATGACGCCGCACAGCTGATCGTCTGACAGCAGCCAGATCAGTGCATGCGCTGAATCGTCCAATCAGTGAGCGATACACAGTAAGGGGGCGGGGCGAGTGTATGAGGATTTCACCAGAGGATGGTCGGGTAGTTCCTCGATCATCGCTCCTCCGTTATCACTCCTCGATCCTCGGTCCTCCGGCAAAAATAAGGCCACTGGGACGCTACTCAAGAGGGCGCAGACAAATCAACTTCCGGTGATACAGAGACCGAGGAGCGAGGAAATAAAAAATAAGAGAAAGTGAAACGCACCCTATGTAACACTCTCACTTCTATTGGCTAGCGCTCCAACATCTTGTGCATGCTATGCTTACAGGCGGGACATCTCTAAGCAGTTGACCAATCACTACAGAGCCGGCCAGCTAACCAATCAGAGCAGACTGGGCTCTGGTTTCAGACAGAGAGTGAAAAGAGATCTTTGAACATTAAAAGCATGGAGACATGTCACAGTCGAGGCATAAAATACAATGATGAAAATACAATGATGAATGAAACAATGAATGAGCATANAGATTTGCTTGCTAACGGGAACTCTGACGTCACCATTGTGTGTGCTTCGCGGAAGCACTCGGCTGCTCGGGTCTGCTCGGTCAGCTTCTGGATGAGGAGGCATTCCTTCGACCAACTTACAGTAGATAACATTACAAACATTTTTAACAGGGGCCATAATAGCGTAAATAATGTTTGTTTTGGCAGTTATAAATGCATGTAATGTTTTCTACTTTTTTACATCTGGGAAGGCATTTGCCTTCATCAGATGGAAAGTGTCTTGACCAACAACTTAAGTATTTATTATAGCTATGCAGGGCATGCAAGTGAGCAAACACAAACAAGTGAAATGCATAATTTGAAATTGTAATATTGTGGTGGTTCATCTTATAATTCAGTTTATAGAATGCACCAGACAGCATCTAAGACCTGCAAAAATCTAAATGTTCTAGGAGGAGGCCCCCCAAATCCTTCGTGCGTCATTTCGTCCGAGCGCATTTTTCAGGGCAATCTCTATTGGGCTCAGGGCCATCTGTAAATTAGCTTAGATGGCCCTCCCAAAATCCTTAATGTCATGCACTGAAGTTACTGTATTCCTTTGCTGGGTTATTACATTGGTGTATTGTGTGGTGAATGTGTGCTATAATTGTCTGTAATTGCATGTAATTGGCGGCTGTATTTATCCCTCCTCCCTCTGTGTGCTTTGAGCCTCAGGCAACGGCCTAACACTGGGCCTTTGAACACTTTGGGGGTTTCATTTGCTATAGGGGCACCCCTTTTCTACTCAACAATTGATGCAATAAATATCAGTACATAGCATAGTTATCAATGCTCCCTTTTTTTCAGTTCTGACTATATACAGTCAATGGTTCTGACCCACAGTTTTCTGGGACTACTAAAAATGGGCAGCAAGTGTTTCTTTATACTTGTCATGACTTGTTAGTTGATCAGCATCATTTAGGCTTTAATACACTTTTTATCTATGCAATGTTATTTTATTACTGTATGTGTAGATTAGTAAAACCACCATTTTACAACAAAAGTATTTGGATTTATTTTGAAAACAAAGTTGTTTATATTCAGTGCTATATAGTGTATTTAGAAGGAGATATCATTCCCAAGGAAACGTTTATTTGAGCTCTGTTATTTAGATTCAATCACACATACCATACACATGCACAAACAGGACCTATACTCATGCATTCATTAAAGGGGCCCTATTTAGCTTTTTAGGGTTTTCCCTTCCCTGTAGTTGATATATAGGCTTTTGTTAATTATCGGCAAAGGCTAAAATCCCAAAGTTCCCTCCCACTCCTGGACACCAATCTTGACTTGAGCTAGCGACCATTTGTTTCTGAAGTCCCTACAGACTCAGCTCTAGCTGCCTTCTGTGTAGAGTAAAGAGTATCAGCATTTTGTATTTGTTGTTTCAAAGGTTTGGTTCATCTATTGTTCTTATCCTTGACACCCCCAGGTCATCAACGTCCCCCAGCCAGTGAAGAAGCCATGCTTATCTGCTCACCTCATGGCTGTGCTGCAGGGACTATCACCCCCCTCCAGTCCAAGCTGGTGTTTGTTCTGGCCCTGGCTGTCCTTTTCTGCCCCTTTGGCCAGGTGACATGTAAGGGGGAAGGTCAGACACAGTCCCCTGCCCAGGTGCTGCAGGACCTGCTGTCCCGCTATGGGGACAACAGCACCATCACGGTGCCCCAGCTGCGCTCCCTGCTGGCCCTGCTCAGCCAGGGTCAGGCTGAAGAGGACAACATCAGCAGCAATGTGCCCGAGATACCTAAAACAACCACGCCCCCCAAAACCAACAGCTCCAAGGTGAGAACAAAAGCACATCTTGTGTTAGCAATATGAATATATGAAACAGTCAAATGTTGTTTTACCTTGATATGATTTGATGTTTCCCCTATAAGTGTTCATTAGGAAACACGAGTAGAGACGACAGTCCATCTTTGACCATTACTCACACAACTATTCCCTGTTATCCCTTCAGTGTGAATCAATCTTTTAAACTGAAACATTTCAGTAAATAGCCCACGTTTCTTTGTTTGCTGACCAGCAGTCAAAACCCAAAGATATTTTATATACTACAACATTATAATAACTATTGATCTTCTTCTTTTTTTTGTTATTGTGGTTTTTTCTTGTCAATTGAATGATCATGTCATTTGTGGGACTTGCTGCTGAATACAAAGCTTGGTTCAGAGTCGTCATATCAGAGCTGCAGTTCCCTAACCCTATAGGTGATACGGTTCCTTTTATTGCCTTCTTTAACGATGGCTCCTGACATGGACTTGCTCCAAGGTGGTCCCATTATGAGTTAGAGATCTTCTGAAAGAGTGGGACCTGGTCTAAATTCAGTCAAATCAGATCTGTGCTCATGCTCTTTTGATCTTGCATGAGTAAAAGTAGTCTTTTCTAACAAAGCTGCACATTTATTTTGATGCATCAAATAGTGTTGGGCGACATGCTGACATTTTCAACAGGCAGCCTAACAACTGGAATTGGCGATATTATAGTGCGTGTGTTTTACAGTGCATCATGTGAAAGCAGCTTAAGTCTTTGGTTGAGGAACATTCAATTAGCAAAATTAAAAAAATCAAATTGTCAAAAGAACCACCCAAAAATGACCCAACCCTAACATTATATTACCAGAATTGGTGTTTCCAATCTTTTGAATGGCTGGTAAATTCAAACTCTAGCCATTAAGCAGGTGGCTCTTTAAAGGCTATTTAAATTAATCTCAATTCTGGGTGTTTCTAAATCACTTAATCTCTAAACATTTGTAACATTAAAGAGATGTAAGGGTGTTCTTGTATCCTCCATGGAGTGTCTCCTTAGCCTTTTGAGTATTCACCTTCTTTTTTTAAAAGTTGTAGCAGTTTCAATTATTTTTGGTGGAGCCTCAGCGTCCCTGCCACACTGAAGCAGGCATGGTAAATCCAGCTTTACTCCTGCCTGGAGGAAGCAGGAGCCACCGCTACCAAATAGCTGAAATACTTAGCATATTTCCCATGCTCATTGTCGTCGATGATTGACTCACTTGCTGATCTGCTTTTGAATAGATTTAATCTGAGTAATGTTGGCAAAGTTCTGAATACTTCTGAGAAATGAAAGGGAACAAAAGGTTAAGGTCAGACGTTTGCAATGGATTCACACCATTGTGTGCTGCTGTCATACAGAACAAACGAGTTCCTGTTGTGGTAAGGTGTGAGACTAGCTTCAGCCACGTGTTTAGTCACGTGTCGCCTGTAATGACCTTTCAGATGCAGCTACTCGTCACTGTACACACTGCATTCCATTTTTCACAGATGCCACATTGACATGTATCTTGTTTTTCTGAGGACAGTTTATAGTCAGTATTGGAACTCATTTATGTAGATGTACAGTGTTAGGGCAAAGGGACAGTGCAGATACAAAGGCAAAAACTAAGTTAGTGGACTAACATATTAAATCAAGCGCCAAATACACATAAAATACAAAACATACAATCGTTGAATAGCATATTGAATATATTTACTGCTGTTGTCAAAAGCACCTCTTGTGTTTCAGCTTCAGGAAATTCAATATTATTTACACTGATACAGTATCTATTGACTTTTCAATGTGAGCTTTACGGTTGGATACATAAATTAAATAGATTTTAGAAATGGCAAGCTATCTTGCCATTTCTAAAATCTAACACCTTAGAATTACAGACGATTTGAAAGTAAAATGAGCATAATGCCAATTTCTAGCTTTATTTAAACTTATATAGAATTGATGAAAAGAAGCAGAAAACATACTAGGTTTGTGTTGGTTAAGGAAAATAATCAACACTTGGTTTCAATACTGTCCCATCTTACTATTTTTCTTTTTTTATTATGTGATGAATGACACTTCAAACACACCAAAGCCTAATGTGATGTGTTCACATGTGTTTGTTTTGTCTAATCCAGCTGGAACCAAACAAGGCTTACTTTAAAAAACATGTTTCAGTAACCTAATTCGAGTATCAAAATGTTGCCTGAATACTGATTAATTTTGTACAACCTCAATCCGTTTTAGTGTAAAACATAGTTAAGTTCACACACACTATTTTATGAACATATAGGTTCACCTATTGAATAAAAAAAAGAACAAATTAATAAAAGAAAATGAAAACCATTAAGCAAATTCAGCCAGACGTTGTATAGATTCACACTTAGCCTACAGAACAATACAGCTTACAAAGAAGAAATAACATCTGATCCTTTTACAACAAACACTATAAGCTGTTTTTTTGTAACATTGTAATCCTGCTAGTAATCACATTTTTCGAAATGTAACATGTAATCTATTACTGCCTAAGCCTGGCTAAAACAATAGTTTAAAAATAAAATGCTAACTTCTTTGGGCTAACTGGCTGACTTTAATTTCCAGTGCTTAGCTGCAGATACACTGGCCATTTACAGCATCAGTGAGCAGTCGCAGCTGGATGGGCGGGGCCTCCAGGAGCTGTGCCCCACCATGCTGCAGCAGCTGGATGCTGGCACCTGCAGGGCGCAAAAAGAGGAGGAGTCAAGCATTGGCCCCAGGCCAACGGACGCCGAAGGTGAGCGAGGAGTTGATACTTATCTTTAACACGCTATTTAGCTATTTATCGATCTTAAGAACAATCAACATATGTTTATTTTAAGATTCCTGTAATGAACACTAGGTTACATTCTTTTGATTTAAGCAGCGGTTTTCAAAGTGTGAGGCGCGTCTCCCCGGGGGGGGCGCCCGATATGGTAGCAGATATGGTGCAAAATGCGAGAGCTTGTAAAACCTGATGTGAGCACTTGCAGTAAAAAATCTGAGCTTGTGTGCATACATTGACACTTGTATAAAATATCCACGTATCTGTGAACCAAATTTGAAGTCACAGAAGAAAAAAAAGAAGTTTTGTAGCTTGTAGACGCAGTCCCCCATTGTTGTTGTTGTTGTGAGCGAAGCAGGGAGCTAGAACGGGAGCTGCGTTGGTGTGAAAGGGGCAACAGTAGTCACTTGTTTGTATGTGACTGATCCGAGCTTCCGCCTCTTCGTTCTGATAGCTCCGCCCCTTCGCTCCAACCACCCTCCCTCCCCCCCATCTACAGGTGAAAATTACTTTAGCGACACATTCATCGGAAGAAGTGTAGCAAAAGTCAAGGCCACAGATTTGTCGATTTATACTGCCACAGAGCAGATTCGTCAAGTTGTAATGACTGATTTGAGAGGTTGTAATAACCAAGTTGCAGTTGCAATGGAAAATATATTTAAAAGATATGTATTTTTCTGCAAGTGAACATTTCATCACTAAGTTCATTTTTTTTCTACAAGTTAAAAAACTTTTTCTCTTCTTCTGTTACTTCAAATTTGGTTCACAGATACTACGTGGATATTTTATACAAGTGTAAATGTATGCACACACGCTCAGATTCTTTGTTTGTCTGAGGGGAGGCTCACCTTCCCACACTTTGAAAACCCCTGATCTTGAGGATAACAACAAATCCAATGAAAAGACCAAAACTAACAATTAATTAATTGTACTAACGGAGCATATTCCAATGATCATTTTAATAACTAAAGAGGCCCTATTATTACTTTTGGGGTTTTCCCTTTCCTGTAGTGTTTCATACGTTTTTGTGCATGTTAATGGTCTGCAAAGGCTAAAATCCCAGCGTTCCCTCGAGAGGGAGTTTCTCTCCCACACACTCCCCCCCCCTGCATCTCCATTGGAATACTTTGTTTACTTCTGTAACATAGTGTGTCACAATGCAACAGTTGCGCTTCTATTGGCTAGGGCTCCAACACATTGTAGGCCAAGGGTCGGGACATTTTCGACACATCTCCAAGCATGACCAATCCCAACAGAGACAGCCAGCTGACCAATCAGAGCAGAGCAGGCTTTGATTTCAGACAGAAGGTGAAAAGAGGTGCTGCAGCACAGGCAGTATCAACATCTTTTTGAACATTAAAGCATGGAGACATGTCACAGTAGAGGCACTAAATACAAAGTATGAACCTTAAGATGTGCATATTAGAGCCCCTTTAATGAGATCATATTTGTGTTGGTCTTTCCAATGAATTTGTTGACTAAAGAAAAAAGTATCAGCAGCCTTATCCTTTGAATGTATTCTTTAACTGCACTGTACTCTAAATGTACTTAATTGCATTTGTGTTGTCTGTTGGTAAACAACTTTGCAGTTGGTGATATTTCTTTGTACAGCTTTTTTATCTGTTCATTGTGGAACTAACTAAATTATGCCTATTCTAGAGAGACTACATCATCATTTCTTTCAATCACTAACTTTTGAAAGTTTGTCCTCGTCTCTCTTTTTTTTACAACTGTATTTTCAGCTAATACATGGAGGCTTTAAAAAACACATTTCTCCATCAGATCTGAGCTCCAAAGTGTGTGTATTGTCGCCTGGAGACAGTGCTATCATGATGTCCCCAAACGAGATGAAAGCCATAACAATCACGCACAGATAGCCAAGGCTCAGATTGGATTTCTCAGTTTGGCTACAAAAGCAACACATCCTGAAATCGTGCCTCAGTCAGCACATCAGATAGAAAGCAGAGATGTCCTCCAGGTAAAGACAGTGGGACAGGAAACCATCCCTGCCACTAACTGCTCCTCTTTCCTTGGCTGCTGACTCATTGTAACTCCACACGGACTGCTCACTTTACACAACCATTAGGACGTCCTTGCGAGCCCTGGAAGTCATTTTGGTCTCTCCATCCAATTTAACAAGAGCTATAGTTGAGTGGAAACTTCATTTGAATTGCAGTGTGTGGCTCTCATAAGAAGCTAGCTGATGACAGACTTTGAGAACGTGGCCATCTTGTGCTATGTCCTGGCCTCGATTGTCAAAAAGCAGCAATGCTTAAAATTGCCTTATTCAGCTATTTTGGGTTTTTCCCTTTACTGTAGTTCTTTATATAGGTTTTTGTGAATGGTCTGCAAAGGCTAAAATCCCAAAGTTCCTCCAGAGAGAGTTTCTCTCCCACACACTCCCCTCCTGCCTCAAACAGACTCCTTTGTTTACTTCCACAACATAGTGACATCACTATGTAACACAGTTGATAAACTTCAAATATATGAAGCCATCATAGCCTTAGTAAACCAACTCTCACATGTCAGTTAGTTTAACCACACTTATCTCATTCTTCATCGGGTAGAGGAGAAATATGTTAGCTATCTCTCCCCTTCCACTGATACATGTTTATTTTTCTTATCACCCTCTCATTCCCTCAGCTGGCCTCACACTCGCCCTTGTAGACCGCTTATTTTGGCCTGAGATCTCTTTTCTTTGCCTTGGCTGTGAAGGTCTGCCAGCAGCAGGGAGGCGGAAGCCATGGAAATTCAACTCTCTCTCGTATATCTTGATCCTTTCACATTACCTAAATGTGATGTTTTTGCAACCGTTTTTTGTTGTTGACATAAAATCAGATCAGATTTACTGTCGAAACACATCACTGGTCATGGTAAAGTCAATCCACAAACGGCACGATTTTACTTGTTTTAGGGTATTGATGCTGATTTAGTATTATCTTTGCTTATGTCTACTTTTTATCCCTTTTGACACCATGCCTAGCAACTATCTTAAAGGTCCCATGTCATGGCCATTTCTACTGATCATAATTCCATTGTTGAGGTATACTAAAATACATTTATACTGTGCAATTTTCCAAACTCACATTGGTTTCTCATACAGCATCTCTGTAAAGTATGTGTATTCACTCTCTGTCCTAAACGGCTTGTTGGAGCTCCTGCCCCCCCACCTCCCTATGAGCCCAGTGTGCTCTGATTGGTCGGGACGTTGCGAGGCTCGCTGCTCGGTGAGCTGGCTTACTGGTGTGGTTTCCGGGTTGGCGATACAGCGAGATAGTGCGCTACTCACCCTGAGCACACACAAACACTCACAGCCGAAGTAAAAACAATAAGTGTGGCTTGATACTNTGAAAGGCTGGCAGAGGGAGTGGCCTCTGGTTATCCCCACGTCAGAGAAGAAAAATGAGAATTCTCCAACGAGGCGTTTTGGGGAGGTCTTTTCTGTGTTAGAGTTTTACTCGCTACAGGGTTTACTTTGAGGGTTTGTGACTCTGCAGACCGTTTACATGCATAAAAACCTTCATAACACACAAGGGGATGGGTAATAACCAGAAAAGCATATGATGGGACCTTTAAGATGTTCATTATCAACTGCTACCTACAGGCCGGCTGTTTTCAAATGACCTGCGAAACTACTTTGGTGTTATCTCTTTTGAAGAAGAGTTCTCTAGTTTCTTGTACCATGAATAACTTCAGGTCGTTTTATGAAAGTCAGCAGGAAAAAAACACAGGAGTTGAAGAAACTAGTGATTGAGTTGATCGAGATTGATCAAGGTGGAATATGGACCAATCAGAGATTTGTGTCGGTGCTGCACAGGCCAAATTTGAGATGTAGCTAATCTAGGGGCACCATTTTGATAGCACTTTAACTTAAAAGCAAACTTTTACTTTGTTTTTGAGTTGTACTTTATAGAGGTTTACCTTTGCTTTACCACAAACCCCCTAATCTAGGTTTGGTCTCTTTTCTTAGCTATGAGAAGGTACAGTATTTAACAGCATATGATTGGTCAGAAATCTCTCCTAATTTTTACCCTTTCTTTCCCATAAACTTCACAGGTTCTTCAGCCAAAAATGACAGTAAAAGTTTTAACTAATTTTCACTAACCTTATTTAGTTTTTACAGGTGTTCCCATTTCTGGCTTTTGACCCTTAAAAGCCACTTGCAACCCCTTTTCACAATTTGCATATTTCTGTATTGTGGGCAAAAAAATAATAATATGTGCATGTTTTAATGTTACATCTTCCTCTTCCATCCAACCTTCCTGCCACTCAAACCTCTAGTGTGGGGTTTTTCTTTCCTGAGCGTCACAATCATCAATCTATTCTCCCTCACCGGAGTCTTCATCATGCCCCTGATGAAGACGCGCTATATGAAACACGCGCTCACCTTTTTCATCGCTCTTGCCATTGGCACGCTGTTCTCCACTGCCATCCTGCAGCTCCTGCCAGAGGTTTGCCATCCATCCATTCATACATACATCCATCCATTCATTTATCCATCCATTTATCCATCCATCCATACATCCATCCATCCATCCATACATCCATCCATCCATCCATCCATAGATACATCAATCCATCCATCTATCCATCCATCCACATTTTGCATCTTTTCACATCACATTTTTACGGTGCAAACCATGGTGCAAACTCACTTCAACGTCCCAAAACACTTCCATTAGGTGAAACGGGCTGCACTTTCAAAAACAATGATAATAAAAAAACTCAAACTGGCTCATGCAAATGCAGAAACATCTTCACCAACTTGACAATCCTGTACCAACTTTACAGGATTATAAAGTTGGCCATTTATCACTGTTGGCAGAGTCAGTCTGCTTCATAATTGTAGGTGTTTTGTCAGTATATTTGAATAGGTTAGCTATGTTAGTGAACTATCTTACAGCAGATCTGCAACAATATCAGAAGGAATCATGTGATCAAATGTTTTAAATAAGCCAGTAAAACTTACATTTTAGATACATTTCCAGTGACAGTGACTGTTGGCTAACTTTTTGCGTTTCTAGTAATGGAAATGTTTTGGGCCATACAATTTACTTTCCAAATAAAATAAAAAAACACAGTTGAAAACCTCTTTAATTCACTCTAGTGCCACATGGCTGTTTATGAAACTAGTGCAACTTTGGCCAAGCGCTTCTTACTTTCTCCGACGTTTCCTCTCCTTCCTGTCCTTGTATTTGTTTCCCGGGGTCTAATAAGCACTGGACTTGGCCTTTTGGTTTCGATCTCCCCACACTGCATCACCGATCATCTGCGGTGCTTTTCTCTTTGTGTGAACTGCATGTTTGTATCTGCAGCATTTCTGGACCTGTAGATGTAGGTCAGCTATGATGTTTTTCTCTGAAAGACCTTCCCCCCTTTTCTTTTTTCTTTTTTTTTTTTTTACCGCTGCAGCATGAAGAACGTCTGAAGCAGACTCGCATGAAAACTGGCAGTTTTTGTGAGACGATCCAGGGTAGCTGGGGCGCAACATCAGAGTCCTTCAAATGTAAAGGCATCCCCTTGTTAAGAATGCTCCATTCTCACTGGCTATTTTAAGTTCATTTGCCCCCTTTTGTGTTTGCAGTGATAGCTAGTGTGTACCCCGAGGGCTAGCATAGAGGGACAGATGCACCCCAGTGGACTAGGACAAAAGTGTGTGTGTGTGTGTGCAAGTAAACTGTCATTTCACTTTAATCACTTCCCCTCTCTATCAAAATGCATTGGGTGCGATGACTGCTTCAAAGGACAACAGAGGCCGATGAAAGGTGGTGTTTGATCTGTTTTCAAATAAGCATGTTTTCTCCGGTGTCTTTAAAAACTCTTGGTTTTCCTCAGGTCGATTTCATTCAATTCTTCTTTTCTTTTCAGGGTGTTTACTGGCGGGTACCCTTTATTCCTTACTCTGGTGACTAATCTGAAAAAACCTGTTCTCAACTAATTACCTCTCTGTCTTTTTTTGCCTTCCCTCTTCTTTTCCTCTCCCCCACTCTCCTCGTTGATCAGTGTGGGGTTATGGGATCCTGTGTGTGACACTGATCTCTCTGTGTTCGCTGGTCGGGGCGAGCGTGGTGCCCTTCATGAGGAAAACCTTTTACAAGCGGCTGCTGCTCTTCTTCATAGCCCTGGCCATTGGCACGCTCTACTCCAACGCGCTGTTTCAGCTCATCCCAGAGGTAGTGTCGCTGCTGCTGTGACTCATTTAGCTGCAACTCCATCACAGTGCAGGGTCGCTAGGCAGTCAAAGGAAGAGGATGAATAGTATGAGTAAATAAAAGAAAGAGGATTAAACTGTATGTTTTCACCCCCCTTTCCTATTTTATTGCGTCAAAACCTCTAATTTAAGCTGAGTTTGGAAACATTTTATTATTTGATGTACACAACATGCCCAGCACTTTGAAGTATTGTATTTGGGTAACCTTTATTAAGTGACAGAAATAAACGGGGGAGACAGTGGGGATGACATGCGGCAAAAGGTCCTACCCCGCATGGGTGACAATCCCCAGTTCATTGGTTGCCAGTTCTACCAAATAAGCTAAATGGCGTCCCAAATATGGTAAAATATTTCTTAATTGTTAATCACACAAAAATTATGATAAAATAAATCATAAGTTTGCAAACGTATTCAACCCCCCTGTGTTTGGAACAGACGGAGAGTTCTCCTTGATGGCCAAAATGTAAAAATGTAGTCTTATCTGACCAGGATTCATTTTTTCACATGGGGTGAATACTTTATTTTGTTTTGTTTTTATAATTTGTTAACATCTCTTTTCATTCATCAATTTGGACTATTTTGTGTGGGTCAATTACAGGAAATCCAAATCAAATGTGGTCTAAATCACAGGTTTCATTGCAATAATTTAGGTTCTTTTGCTGGGGTTATATATAGAACAGACAAAAAACACATTATCCCTTAAAACAAAGCTGACATATTTTAAGTGTGTTGGTGATATATGCTGCAAATTAGTCGCCATTTAAGTGTCTGAAGTTCAAGAAAGAAACCTGACTAAAAGTAAATATGGCTACAGTCCTCTAGAAGCCTTTAGATGTACTTGTATAATATTTATAATATAATAATTACCCTAATTCATCAATTATTGTTTTCTCGTTACATTGAATTTGATCAGTTGAGCTAACGAGGGAAGCTTAGGTACATGTTTAAGCAAGGTTCAAACTCAAGCCTTACTTAAGGAGCGGTATAACCCACAAGTATGGGAAAGCGTGTGTTATGGCTTTAAATGCCGTCTAGACAGTGGGCCCACCCACCATGGCCAAGTTTACAGCTGCTGTGAAATGTATTGCATAATTTCACAGACAAAAGAGGAGGTTTCTGTCTGATATGACAGCTTAATACACAGCCTACAGCCTCTTAGAGTTCAAACATTCACTAACCGCTAATTGTTAAACTGAAAAATCCTGCCAAATTACATTTGACAATTGTTTCAAGCAACACCTCATTCAAAAAATATACACATCAGGTGATGCCAGGCAGTAATTATATAACAGCTACTGTAAATAACCATCAGAAGCTGATATCATCTTCTTTCCTGCAATGCTAGGCCTTTGGTTTTAACCCCATGGTGGATAACTACGTGTCCAAATCAGCCGTGGTCTTCGCTGGCTTTTACCTCTTCTTTTTCACTGAAAAGGTCCTCAGAGTGCTTCTCAAACAGAAAAATGGGGTGAGTACATAAACAGCAAGAATGATGTGATGAACAAGTTGCTCTCAAAACCAAACTGAATCTGAGAAATAATTACCTTCATTTATCTTTTAAAATGACCAATTCTGCAAATCACATATTTAAAAGGTTAATTAATTAATCTGTTTTATGGCATTTTATTTTTAGTTCCCATTAAATCCATTTTGAATACTCACATTCAGTGTTATCGACTACTGTAAACGCCAATCAGTACATCCCAATACATGCTAAGTCAGAAACACTTCTAGTTGTTTCATTGGAACTTTAAATCTAAGTATTTGTTCCAGTCTATCCATATATTGTTGATATTCATTTCATTACACTATAAGGGTGCCTATTATGCTAATTTTCCGGTTCATATTTGTATGTTGTGTCTGCTGTGACATGTCTCCATGCTTTAATGTTCAAAAAGCTCTTTATTTTTCTCATACTGTCTGTGCTGCAGCACCTCTTTTCACCCTCTGTCTGAAACCAGAGCCCAGTCTGCTCTGATTGGTAAATCGCTTAGAGATGTTCAGCCCCTTAGACTATCACGTATAAGGTATGGATCGGTTAAATGTGTTTTTCTTTTAATGAACCTGGTGCAGTGTAAGCCTTGGTGAGTTGTAAGTCCGGAGTTGACGAGTATAGATGGGCCGAAGAAAGATAAACAAGAGTAACACCGAATCAACATCTCTGTTACAGTCTCAACAAAACGATCCTCTGCCAGCCTCACAGAGCTGGTATTTATGGCAGCTTTAAACAGCTTGTATCCAAGGTCAAGACACAAAACGGTATTGTGGAAACCAGGACTAACAGTCAAAGGAGAACCTACCGTGCTCTGTTCCCTTTTCTGTCATTGGTTTCCCTTAATAAAGAAAAAGTGCACCATCAACTCACGGATCAAAAAAAGACTTTTAAAAATTGGATGAAAAAACTGTCTAGGGTATAACGAACATTTTAGCAAAACCAGTTTAGCTAAAAAATATGGCGACTGTACTCATCATTGCAAGAATGTTAAATTGATGTGTATTGCACCGTCTTCCAGTTTTTCAGTCAAAGAAAATGCTTTTTCTAGATTTGAACCATAATTTTCTTGGAACCATATTTTCTGTGAAATTTCTAAATTCTGTAGAAAAAAAACTAATATTATTTTGCTCAATATTGATCAATTATATAATACTGAAGTCCTATGATGTTTCCATAATAAATTGTGAATAAGATACTTTTTTTAATGAATTTTACAAAAAATCTTTATTATTAATAATTGGATCTTACAAAAATAATTGAATAATAAAATATATATAATCTTATTAAAGATATTTGAATCTTACTGAGAGATAACGTTGCAAACTAAATTATAGTGGAGTAGAATGTGAGGGTTTTAAATCCATAATTGGATGGTAATTGTATTTATTTTACGTGTTGATCCTCTATACAGTACACCAATCCGTTGTAACGTTGTTAACTGGAAGTTCAACAGATCAGATTGTTATTTGTTCATAACACATATTTCAATTGTTGCTTGTATTATCTGTTCATCAGTGTCAGGTTTAACCAGTTGAATAGGATGTTAGGGCCAGAGGCAATGATGAGTTTATTTCAGAGTACAGTAGTTCACTATAAGGAAGTGTATCTTAACATTATGTAAGCTGGCTCCCCACTATATTCTTACGTGTCCTTCAGAAAGGAATGTTCAGCTGTTTATGCTTAAAAAGTAAACGGAAAATTCTTGTTTGCCGGACTGAAAAAGACTCAGAGGAATCATTTATCAACTGGGTGAAGGTTTTAAGCACTTGACTTCATTTACGAACTGATGTCACAAAGTTTAACTCTTTCCCTTCTGCTGTGCATATTTCAGCAAAGAAACAAGAATGTACATCTTTTCACCCTCTGTCTGAAACCAGAGCCCAGTCTGTTCTGATTGGATAGCTGGATGGCTCTGTTGTGATTGGTTAACAGCTTAGAGCTGTTGACCGTCCCTTAGCCTATCATATTCAATGTGTTGGAGCACAAGCCAATAGAAGCACAATTGTTACATGGTGAGTTCACTATGGAGTGCAGTGATAATGTATGTTGCAGTTGCTTATACCGTTTTCTGATAACTGGTATGCAAATCTAGTCACATTGGTGAAGTTACAGAACACATTTCCCCCAAAATAGGATTCTTAAACTTGAATAATTTCATTCACAAAAAGCAGAAGTGAATGGGTGGTGATTCTGGGAAAGTTGCTCCACCTTGTGGTTACTCGGCTCTAAGCCATATGGTCCAGCCAACCTAATTAACAACTAACACGTTTACGTGCTGATCCTATTACACACGCTCTTTGACCCATATTGGCGCCTGCAAGTACTGCTGTCAGCTTTTTTCTTTCACTGCAAAAAATAAACCCTTTAACAATTCTGGTGAAGTGTTACAGAGCAAAACACTGAATTTGAATGTACCTGCTTTGACTTTGTGGTAGATGTGAGCCAGGTTTAGAGTCACTGTCCCTGCAAACTTAAATAAGATGAACAAATAATGAATATGTGATTGTTTTGATCAAATCATTTTACAATAGAGTGTTGTGAGAATTAGTCAGAATCTCAAGCCATCATGCAGAATATGACCTTTTTTAAAGAGGCCCTATTATGCTTTTTGGGGTTTTCCCTCTCCTGTAGTGTGTTATATAGGCTTTTATGCATGTTCATGTTCTGCAAAGGCTAAAATCCCATAGTCCCCTCCAAAAATCTGTCACACTCACAACCTTGTTACATCACTATGTAACACTGCCGCTTCTAGTGGCTAGCGCTCCAACACATTGTAGGTGTTAGGCTAAGGTGAGGGACATGTCTAAGCGGTTGACCAATCACAACAGAGCGGGCCAGTTAACCAATCAGAGCAGACAGGGCTCTGGTTTCAGGCTGAGGGTGAAAAGAGGTCCTGCAGCACAGGCAGTATGAGGAAAATAAAGATCTTTTATGTCATTTTATTTTTGTCATCTAAGGAAGTTTAATGAAACACAATAATTTCAAATAAATGAATGAAGTTTTTGATTGGAAACCAATTGTATTGGACTTTGAACCCGAACAGCTAAAAAGTGTTTTGCTTTATGCTATCTATATTGTGTTTGTGTCTGCCACTTCCATGGTTGCTCACTCTGTGTGAAGCACCTGAAATGGAATGTGTGCTGTATAAATAAAGTTTGGGCTGCTTGCATTTGCATGGCTGTTGTGTATTCCTTAAGGGAGGCAACCAAAACAATCGAGTGGAAGTGGTAACACAGAACGCAGAAGGAACGCTATGTTTGTGATTAATTTCAAAATAACTTGAGCGTAAATTCTCCTCTGTTTTTTCTCTTATTAATTTAAAAGATTCAAGGTCATTTTTTTTGTCATGAAGAATAGATCCACAAGCAATAGAAAACAGAATCAGAATCAGAAACAGGTTTATTACCAGGTAGGTTTACACGTACGAGGAATTTGACTAGGTGTCGTGGTGCATAAAAACAAGAATTGAAAACACAAGAAGAGAACTAGAAAAATAATAAAAATAATGAAAAATATATAGTAAAAAATACTAGATAATAGATACGCCAATATCTATTATATATATTACTTATGAATAATACTTCATGAATTGTTCCTGATATCTGTTGTCTCTCTGTATCGCAGGGCCAGGGCCACGGCCACAGTCATTACCCGAGCGCAGATCATTACTCGACCCCTGACGGGGATGTGGAGGGCGAAAAGGAGAAACTGCAGCAGAACGGAGAGGCCAGCAGTCTGGCCCTGGGCAAAGTGGACGCAGGGGAGGGGGAGCTCATGCTCAGCCCCGCACAGACACCACAGGTTGGGCTGAGGGTGCAGAAAGTGTTTTCTTTTACCTAATTGATACACATTTTTCTTAGTATTGGGAATTTATTTGCTCAGAGTGAGTTCATACATTTTTTTTTCATCTGATGGGTGTCCGTCACTCTGTTCATCCCAGGACTCCCAGAGCCCAGAAAGTGGGGGTCGGTCCCGCAGTGGCAGGGGCTGCTATTGGCTGAAGGGGGTCGCCTACTCCGACATCGGCACGCTGGCCTGGATGATCACATTGAGCGACGGCCTGCACAACTTCATCGACGGCTTGGCCATCGGCGCCTCCTTCACTTCCTCCGTCTTTCAAGGCGTCAGCACCTCCGTGGCCATCCTGTGTGAGGAGTTCCCCCACGAGCTCGGTGAGTCTGTACTTTATACAGTACTGCAGTGGTGACGTATTTTTGTAGGCCAAAGCCAGAAGTGAGCAACCCCGCGAAGAGACACAGTGGGATCTTTTCATTGGATTTTGGAATATTGCGGAAAAATCAACGTTTATCATACTTACACATTTTGCTCAGCAGGATAATCTCCAGATACAGTGGGGAAAACAAGTATTTAGTCAGCCACCAATTGTGCAAGTTCTCCCACTTAAAAAGATGAGAGAGGCCTGTAATTTTCATCCTAGGTATACCTCAACTATGAGAGACAAAATGAGAAGAAAAAAAATCCAGAAAATCACATTGTCTGATTTTTAAAGAATCTATTTGTAAATTATGATGGAAAATAAGTATTTGGTCACCTACAAACAAACAAGATATCTGGCTCTCACAGACCTCTAACTTCTTCTTTAAGAGTCTCATCTGTCCTCCACTTGTTAACTGTATTAATGGCACCTGTTTGAACTCGTTATCAGTATAAAAGACACCTGTCCACAACCTCAAACAGTCACACTCCAAACTCCACTATGGCCAAGACCAAAGAGCTGTCAAAGGACACCAGAAACAAAATTGTAGACCTGCATCAAGCTGGGAAGACTGAATCTGCAATAGGTAAGCAGCTTGGTGTGAAGAAATCAACTGTGGGAGCAATTATTAGAAAATGGAAGACATACAAGACCACTGATAATCTCCCTCGATCTGGGGCTCCACGCAAGATCTCACCCCGTGGGGTCAAAATGATCACAAGAACGGTGAGCAAAAATCCCAGAACCACACGGGGGGACTAGTCAATGACCTGCAGAGAGCTGGGACCAAAGTAACAAAGGCTACCATCAGTAACACACTACGCCGCCAGGGACTCAAATCCTGCAGTGCCAGACGTGTCCCCCTGCTTAAGCCAGTACATGTCCAGGCCCGTCTGAAGTTTGCTAGAGAGCATTTAGATGATCCAGAAGAGGATTGGGAGAATGTCATATGGTCAGATGAAACCAAAATAGAACTTTTTGGTAAAAACTCAACTAGACGTGTTTGGAGGAGAAAGAATGCTGAGTTGCATCCAAAGAACACCATACCTACTGTGAAACATGGGGGTGGAAACATCATGCTTTGGGGCTGTTTTTCGGCAAAGGGACCAGGACGACTGATCCGTGTAAAGGAAAGAATGAATGGGGCCATGTATCGTGAGATTTTGAGTGACAACCTCCTTCCATCAGCAAGGGCATTGAAGATGAAACGTGGCTGGGTCTTTCAGCATGACAATGATCCCAAACACACCGCCCGGGCAACGAAGGAGTGGCCTCGTAAGAAGCATTTCAAGGTCCTGGAGTGGCCTAGCCAGTCTCCAGATCTCAACCCCATAGAAAATCTTTGGAGGGAGTTGAAAGTCTGTGTTGCCCAGCGACAGCCCCAAAACATCACTGCTCTAGAGGAGATCTGCATGGAGGAATGGGCCAAAATACCAGCAACAGTGTGTGAAAACCTTGTGAAGACTTACAGAAAACGTTTGACCTCTGTCATTGCCAACAAAGGGTATATAACAAAGTATTGAGATGAAATTTTGTTATTGACCAAATACTTATTTTCCACCATAATTTGCAAATAAATTCTTTAAAAATCAGACAATGTGATTTTCTTTCTCATTCTGTCTCTCATAGTTGAGGTATACCTAGGATGAAAATTACAGGCCTCTCTCATCTTTTAAGTGGGAGAACTTG